TTGTGGTTTAATAGAAGAACCTTCCTTGCTTTAATTTGCCCCGTGACCTTTGTAACCTCTCATTTCCTGTCTGTCTCACCCATCGTTTCCTGTCATTTTGGCGTTCACTGAAGGCCGAAAAGCCTCTACATGTGGTTAAAACTCCATTAAAATGCTGGTCACTGCAGGTTAGCTGACCAGACATTTAGTAGATCGCACAGAGTTTGAAGGTCTTGCACATGTAATATGCATAAAACCTGTTACGTGTGTTAATCCTGAGCCGTTTGATAGAAAAGATTTGTTTCCAGTCTGTCGTCCAGACGATTGATGTCAGAGGTCTGTTCAGGTTAATACTCTCACAATCATGTGACTTTCATCTGTCTACCATTTGCTATTATAGCAAACTGTGCAGCCACTATCACGCATGTTAACTCATAGTTTAAAGCCAGAAGCTGCAACTTCTCTGTTTTCACTGTGCAGTCAGCCGATCGGCCGATAACGCTGCATGTAAGCGGCGAGCTCCTGCTCATTTTCTCCAACACAAAAAAAAAAGGTTATTACTGGTCCGGGTTTCCTGCGACAGAAAGCGAGAGAGGCAGAATTACTGTGTGCAGCGATAAAGCTGAAATTACACTCCTGCCTTCAGTGGATCATTTTAGTAAATTATGAATATTCTGCACTTGTCTCAATAGGCATTTGCTTAATTATTTATCTGTCTTATTCTTGACAGTAAACAGTTTGTAGCATTTAAGTGGCTTTGCTGTTACATTTGAATTATGGCTAAATGAACACCTTTGAAAGTACTGGCTTTTGTTTGTTTGTTGTTTTATGAACGCAGATATTTTAGTGGTTGTTCTGGATTCATTTTGCTTGCCAGAGGCAAATATTAGTGTTGCTGCTTTACTCAAAGGCGGGTCAGACTGCAGTGTGAAGAGCAGCGAATGGGAGGGATCGTTAGCCAAATAAAGATATCTGGTGCACAGGACCAGCAGGGGGGTCAGCTTAGACCTGGAGGGGTGCTGAACCCTGACTATACACACAAAGTTGGCTTGTAACTACACTCATCAGCCACTTTATTAGGTACGTCTCACTGTACCACGTTGGACCCT